CACCTACTTGGTAAGTTGTGCACTAAGTTATTTAAGTGACTGTTATTTTGTACATATTGATATTGTCTTAATGTGTGCACATGTATACATTTGTCTTTTGATTGTGTATATGTAGGTTTATACATATTTGCATACATATTTTTAATATTTGTTTTTGTATTCGGGATTGTGGGAAACGGTGTTTCGATCTCTCTGTCTGTAAACACAAACTGAAAGATTGACAGTAAAGTTGACTCTGGCTTTAAAGCTGATTCTGAGTGCGTCCTCTCCCCAGTGTCCCCTCACCTGGCTCTTGTTGGCGGCCACCTTAGCGAACAGCGCTTGGGAGACCTTGGCTCTCTTCATCTCCTGCTGGATCTCGTCGTAGATTCCTGATGTGATGCTGACCAGAGACTCCAGCTTCAGAGGGAGATCAGGGGCCGGGCCGGGGGGCTTGGGCTGCGGGAGAAGATCAACATTACTCTGTTATACACAGTGAGTACAAATGAAAGATCCTGACGGGTGAATGTTAAAGGAGGATACACTTTGATGTTTGGAAGGCAGGAAATATCATAAAAACTGGTTTATAGATTATACAAAACCAAAACCTCTTGAGTATGTAGCACTGATTTGACTCTGTTATCCACAGTGAGTACAAATTAAAGATCCTGATGTCTAAGAGGAGACGCTATAAGATAACTTTTGCTGACGTGACTTGTTTGTATATATATATATTTATTTGTTAATAAAAATGTCTAATTTCTGTATGTAGCACTTCAAATGTTTGGCTTTGATGTTTTGAGTTGCTTTGAATAAAAGCACAAAATGAAATGAAGTAATGTCATTTTAAACTATTAAAAAGGGCGCCTCTGGAATGGATCCTTAAAAAGTCTAAAATGCATTGAATAATAATGTTAAAAAAGGCCTTAATTGTTATTAAAATGTCTTAAATCAGTCGTTTTAAAGTCTTAAAAAACTCTAAGAAATCGGAATAAGAAGTTATGCTTTGTTTTTTAATCTCATTGAAAGATCAAATATCCGAAATAATTGATTAAATATATATTTTATTGAACGTTGCTAAAAGACTCTTACAGTATCGTCATGCAGATCCAAACAGCGTAAACAAATCTGCATTCAATTCCATCCGAGAGGCAAATAAAGTCTTAAATCTACGAAGCTGCAGAAACCCTGTAAAGTATTTCTAAAAAGTGAATCAAGTGTAAACAAGAGGAGATATCATCAGCTGGCGATCGTCTCTCGCTGCAGACTTTCCTGAACATCAGCCGCACATCTGCAGCGCACGTCTCCACGTGAATTGTGTTTACAGATCAAAGTCATTAAGTCGTCCTCTTTTGTCTTTCTTTGTTGTTTCTGTTTGAATGAGCATGTATTGGCTCTCTGAGAGCTTGTATACACAGCGTTTGAAGTCGTCCACGAGACATGCACAGACCAGCCAGCTCACATTCCCTCAGTGTAAACCGGGCGCAGATTATTTTACATAGACATAATAAGAATAGAACACACATTCAGCCACAGCCATGAATCAGAGGGGACTCCTTATCACTGATGTTGCTGAACTGTTATGTGCACATGGAAAGAAATGCTGCATAATGTGCTTCGTGTTTACAATACGCTCCGATGGCTTTGAAGCCCTTCCTCCGTTATAAGTGGAATTTGTTTAAGGTTTTTGGACGTGACGCGCTGCAGCCTGCTCTGATCTCTGAGAGGTGGAAGATAACTCACCAAGCTGGAGATCTTAGTCTTGTTCTTCCAGATGGAGGCCCAGGTATCAGGAGTGAGCTGGTCCTCCAGGCCCCTCTCCCACACCTTCTGTGCAGCACACACACCCAACACACACATGTATGCAAGTTACAGTCACTTGTTTACGTCACTGAGGATCACACATGCAGTCTTTGAGAACATCTCAACACAGCGGTGGCATGGTACAATATGTGACATTTTATGAGGAGGTGTTACCATTATTTAAAATAGGAAAAAGTGCCTCAATAAGGTTTCATGTTACTTTTTAATGCCACTATTTCCAACATAAACATCCGTTCTTTTTGCATATTTATTGAGTGTAACTTTCTGTGCACTTTTTAAATGTTATTATACCTCATTCTTCATTTTTTGACAGCTTCGATATATGGTTTATCAATACATTAACTAATCATTTAATTATATCATTAAATTGCCCTTTTTACAACTTTTTGTTACAGTAAATTGAAGATGCATTGTTTTAGTTTTGTATGCATCCTTAAGTATCCTGTCTAGTGAGGATGTCATTGTGTCAATGTTTCTTTTTTAAACTTTGTTTATCGGGTTTTGCTATACAAACAATTATTGTTTCATCAGAGCAGAGACAAACATTTAGCGTAAAAGTTGTCAGATTCATTTTTTTCTGCACCTCTCAGCGAAGTGTACACACACACACACACACACACACACACACACACACACACACACTCTCTCTCTCTCTCTCACACACACACACTCACACACACACACATACCATGTATACATCACTTCAGGGGACATTACATTGACTTACATGCATTTCCTGGAGACTTATCCTAACCTTAACCATAACCAACACATGCCTAACCCTAACCCTAACCCTTAACACTAACCAAGTCTTCACCCTAAAATTAATGATCCCCCTCATGGGGACCTCCAATTTGTCCCCATAAGGGAGGCGAGTCCCCACACGTGACTGTGTAAACAGAAAGTATAGTAATGCTAGGCCACACACCCACACACACACACACACACACACACACACACACACACACACACACACACACACACACACACACACACACACACACACACACACACACACACACACACACACACACACACACACACACACACACACACACACACACACACACACACACACACACACGGATATAGAGCATGTGGAGGTTGGACTTTTTTGTAAGAAAAGGCTATTGTTCGTAAAAGATGCACCCATAACATAAATTATTATTAAGAAGTAGTTTGCTACGTATTGGCTACTCGTTATATGTAACATGTTGAAATCTTAAATGTAGAGTATTTGAACCCCAACTCAGTTAAAGTAAAATGATACAATAAAAAGAGGATGGGTTACCCATATTTATGAAGACACAACAGTTGAAATAGTGTCTCTGGAAGCTTACGCCCAGTGTGTTTGCGGCACTGACCTGAGAGAGGCGAGGGGCTCCGGGGCTGGAGGAGTTGGAGGCGGGGAGGCCCACCGTGGGGTTCATGGTGCGCTCTCTCTCCTCCTGGTAGATCCGGTCTCTCTCGCTCTCCGCCAGGTTCAGGAAGTTCTGCATAGCCTTCAGGTTCACCAGCAGAGACTGAGAGGCCGTGCGGGGGTCTTCCTCTTTCCTCAAGATCTCTGACAGCAGACCCTGAGGAGAGAAAACACACAGAGGGGGGGGGCATGGGGTTAGAGAATGGACTCAATATCAATCACTTCAAACCTCTAGTATTCATATACAGACTCATATAGACTGAAGATGGATGCTCCAAAATACGTAAGTTAACATATTCAATGCAGAAGAATGTCTCCTATAATATGTCATTATATAATTAAGGTTTTAATACTAAAGTATTCATGTGAAACAGGAATGCACTGTTGCAGTTGGAGCCCATTTTGGACGACAACAAATGATTATTATCGTTATTATTTTTTTTTTAAAGTAATACATTTCGTTGCAATTAACTAGAACCCAACGTGACACTGGGTTTTGGCCAATCAACCGTCCAAACTTCAAAATGAAAACTACAAATATATAACAATAATTTAAGGAATTCACGACATGTTAAAACCTGTTACAATGACATTTTATCATCAGTCATTTTAAAACAGTTTACTTCTACTTCAACAACATTTTATATTTGTACATGTTTTTGTTGTTTGTGCAAAAATGTTACTTTATAAAGTTGTCAAAGGAAATCATATCAGTAAAATACAAAATCCTAAGTAAAGCACAAATGTAGGACTTCTACTCAAATAAATGTACTTGGTTAGAACTGCAAAACAATAAAGATGAATGAACATGATTAGCATATATCTTTGACACACAAACACACACACACACACACACACACACACACACACACACACACACACACACACACACACACACACACACACACACACACACACACACACACCACACACACACACATGCAAACTGAGTAAAACACACCTGGCCTCTACACAGACAGGTCTACCTCCCATTGCACTGCTCTAATGGGGCGTGAGCTAACCCGTTTAGCACAGCCTGAATGCATCAGGTGCAAAACCCAATGACCCAGCACGCTACCCTGCTACGCTAACGCTAATCCCCCGAGGAGGGTAACCACAGAATTAGCCAAACGCTGTTAGAGAAAAAAATGACAGTCCATCAGTGACGTCAAATTCTATTTATTTCTATCAAATACGACGATTATCTCTTCTCGACTGAGATGGTGTGAGGGAGTGAGAACTATAATCAGTCGCTCGATAAAGACATCCGGGACAGCCTACAAAAGTACGTAATTCACCCCCACTCTGGAAGGAATATGTAAAGGTCCCCTATCATACTGTTTTTCATCAATGTATCACAGGTCTCAGATATATACAGAGCCTGTCTCTGATTGGCTGAAACACCAAACAGATCATTGCAGCACTACCCATAATCCCCTCTGTTTCAGCCCTGTTTCCAAAGTGCTGATTCTCTGTCTGTTACTTTAGATGAAAACAAGGAGCCCCTCCCCACGCCCCTCTGAGAGACATTTGGTTACAAAGAACTCAATGGTGCTCTAGGAGGAGATTCAGGTGATAAGGGGGGGGGGGGGTTACCTTGGTTGCTGATTGGCTAATGGTTACACAAGACAACACATCGTTTATGACATCATCAAGTGGCCAAAATCTGATCAGCTCATTTTCAGACAGGTTTTTATAGAACTGGATCAAAAAGAGAGAGAATCTTTGTTCCTGAAACTTCAGAGTCTCTTTCACAGAGGGACCACATGTTGCTGTAGAAGAGACATGAAGAAGAGGGGACACATGTTGATGTCGAAGAGGACATGAAGAAGAGGGGACACATGTTGATGTAGAAGAGGACATGAAGGAAGAGGGACACATGTTGATGTAGAAGAGACATGAGAAGAGGGGACACATGTTGATGTAGAAGAGACATGAAGAAGAGGGGACACATGTTGATGTAGAAGAGACCATGAAGAAGAGGGAACCATGTTGATGTAGAAGAGACACGAAGAAGGGGGACAATGTAGAAGAGACATGAAGAAGAGGGGACACATGTTGATTGTAGAAGAGACATGGAGAAGAGGGGACACATGTTGATGTAGAAGAGACATGAAGAAGAGGGGACACATGTTGATGTAGAGGAGACATGAAGAAGAGGGGACACATGTTGATGTAGAAGAAACATGAAGAAGAGGGGACACATGTTGATGAAGAAGAGACATGAAGAAGAGGGGACACATGTTGATGTAGAAGAAGAGACATGAAGAAGAGGGGACACATGCTGATGTAGAAGAGACATGAAGAAGAGGGGACACATGTTGATGTAGAAGAGACATGAAGAAGAGGGACACATGTTGATGAAGAAGAGACATGAAGAAGAGGGGACACATGTTGATGTAGAAGAGGAATGAAGAAGAGGGGACACATGTTGATGTAGAAGAGACATGAAGAAGAGGGGACACATGTTGATGTAGAAGAGACATGAAGAAGAGGGGACACATGTTGATGTAGAAGAGACATGGAGAAGAGGGACACATGGTGATGTAGAAGAGCCATGAAGAAGAGGGGGACACATGTTGATGTAGAAGAGACATGAAGAAGAGGGGACACATGTTGATGTAGAAGAGAGACATGAAGAAGAGGGGACCCATGTTGATATAGAAGAGACATGAAGAAGAGGGGACACATGTTGATGTAGAAGAGACATGAAGAAGAGGGGACACATGTTGATGTAGAAGAGACATGAAGAAGAGGGGACACATGTTGATGTAGAAGAGACATGAAGAAGAGGGGACACATGTTGATGTAGAAGAGACATGAAGAAGAGGGGACACATGTTGATGTAGAAGAGACATGAAGAAGAGGGGACACATGTTGATGTAGAAGAGACATGGAGAAGAGGGGACACATGTTGATGTAGAAGAGACACGAAGAAGAGGGGACACATGTTGATGTAGAAGAGACACGAAGAAGAGGGGACACATGTTGATGTAGAAGAGACACGAAGAAGAGGGGGACACATGTTGATGTAGAAGAGACACGAAGAAGAGGGGACACATGTTGATGTAGAAGAGACACGAAGAAGAGGGGACACATTTGATGTAGAAGACATGAAGAGGGGACACATGTTGATGTAGAAGAGACACGAAGAAGAGGGGACACATGTTGATGTAGAAGAGACATGAAGAAGAGGGGACACATGTTGATGTAGAAGAGACATGAAGAAGAGGGGACACATGTTGATGTAGAAGAGACATGAAGAAGAGGGGACACATGTTGATGTAGAAGAGACATGAAGAAGTTCATTTTGCATAATAGGTGACCTTTAACCCTTTCCTGACTCAATGACACCATCTCTATGAATGAAGCTACCCTCTCTCCTCCTTTCTGTCCTCATCCTTCCTTCCTTCCTCTTCCTCCCCCCACTGTCTCCTAACTTCTTGACCACAGTCGGTCCTGTTTTTCCTACCTGTGTGCGGTTGAAAGCCACACGGGCGAACACGGCCTGCGAGACACTAGCTCTCTTCAGCTCGTCTCTGACCTGCTGGTAGATTTCACAGGAGACGTCTGCGGGGTTGGAGGCGTTGCTCCCTGGATGATCTCCTCCCATTTTGGACCCCCTAGGGATGGGCGGGTGGTTGAGGAACTGCTGGTTGATGGCCTGTGGGTGCTGGTGGGCTAGCAGGCGGCTAACGGCTAGCTGCTGGTTGATGAGGTGGGCCATGGCGAGCTGTTGTCGCACCAGTTGAGGGGAAAGTTGGGGGGAAAGTAGCCCACCTGGACCCAGCAGGGAGGGGGGAGGAGGGTGAGGAACCAGACCCGTTCGGAGGGGGGGGCTGTGGTGCATCGGGCCGTGAGGAGAGGGTTGTTGTTGTTGTTGTTGTTGGGGGGTAAGAGGATGCTGTGAGGGATTCTGAGGGTCTCCAGCCTTAAGGAGGGGGCTGCCGGACCCCAGGTGCACGAGCTGAGCCAGGCCGGACAGGTGAGGAGGGGGGAGTCTCTGGCCCAGCACGCAGAAGTCCGCCATGTTGTCTCTCTCTACTGGAAAGAGGAAGAAGAGACGGTCACTAGGTTAATATGCACGCTAAAATGTCATTGATTTTCAGTATATGACAATACTCAGAATTGAATGAGGTAGTGCGGTAGGTCAAACAAACACTTTAAAGAGTCCTTACTTTTAATTTCAGCAGCATCTCGTCCAGACCACATCTTCTCCAAGTAATCTACTGCTCAACAAAACACACATAGAAAGAAAATCCTTCAGTTGGTAAGGCTAAAATTGTATTATCGTTATTAGCTTTGAAGCTAACATGCACGAATAGTGCTCAAAACAATGGAATCGTGAGGTGAGATTTATCTGTCAACTGCTGTTCTCAAGTAACATACTTATACAACTTCACATTCAAAACATAAATATTCTGTAGAGAAAAAAGCTCTGATTGACAGGTGTAGCAGCCAATCAGAGCGAAGTCAGCTCTTTTGGAGCTACTGCCAGGAGGAGAGTGTAACCTCACACATGATTTTGCTTTAGGACAAAGACCCATGTTTTAGAATATATCAGAATCACTGTTACACTACAGTAGCAAGGCATTCAGTCCCACACTTCTTTCTCCAAAGCCATATTTACATCCACCTTTCATCCCAGGTTGCATGTCTGAGGCTGATTTATACGTTGTGTGGGAGTCACAGATATGTACAGCACAGGTTTTTATTTATAGTGCCGTGTTGGATTTCACCTGATGAAAGAAACCCTGCAGCATTTATGATCAAGCCACCGCGCTTGAATTATATTCCCAGTTAAATGTGTTTACATTCTTATATTTACTTTATGATTTACAGCGACTGCATACGCCTCGCCTCTTTACAGAAAAGGAGGCCACTGCCGTGTGTTTGCGTTCATTCTAGAAAGATGTAATCGCGGTCAACAGAGAATAGCTGAGTGTTTCTGAAACGCTGACGACTGAGCTTTCAACTTCCTAATGTATCAAAGAAACGTCAAAAGCTTGTTGCAGAAACACATTGTTTTATCTCAGATGGCCGTGAAGTGGAAATACATTTTTAAAGGTGTGCATCTAGAGCACACGTGTCAAACTCAAGGCCCGGGGGCCAAATCAGGCCCTTGGTGGATTTAATTTCGGCCCGCAGGATCATTTCTAATTCCTATTAGATCTGGCCCTCCGGTATATCGCACGCACACCTTCACTCCATCCTGAGGGTCTCCTCAGCTCAGAGCCTGAGCCCAAACATTGATGAGCTTGCACCCAAGATGAGATGCCAAGTATCTGAACTAGCATCACAGAGCAGCACACTGAGTTCAATGGATGTTTCCTTCTGCACTTTCTCTCAGGACAACAGGGCATGTTTGGTTTTCTCTTTGAGGGGAATAGTTTTGTTGAAGCTGTTGTTGGCCTGTGGAGAAATGTACTCATAAGAAATGACTCTGAAAAGCTGCAGATAGAGCCATAAGAAATGAATGCAGCTGATTATTTAATGTTTAATGTTGTTTTTATAGGCAATAATTGAAGCTTTGTTAGTTCCAGGTTTAATATGTGCAATAAGTTCATTTCAGTAAGTTCTGCAATAAACATTGAACCAGTCCGGCCCTCCACTAGCACCCATTTATTTTGGCCCACTGAGTGTTTGAGTTTGACACCCCTGCTTTAAAGACACAGCTACGTGGTAACTGTAACCTTTAAATGTAGCTTTATGGTGTGTTTTAAAAGGAATGTAATTATATAAAAGACATGAGTTGGAGTGTCTCAACTTTGCTAAGAAGTTTGCATGTCGCTAGAGTCTATCAGCATTGAGATTAAGTCGTTAAATCAATGATTCTGCGGTCAAACTATTGACTAATAATACTTGCATATTCAGCAGAAGGGTCATTTTTCATCCTGAGATTTTTTGTTGTTAATTTAAATACTTTCTAGAGGAAAATATTCTTAAAACTAAAGCAAATATTAAAGAAAAGACCCAAATTGATTATTACCTACCCCAAGAATCATTTTGTGACCTCTGGATTATTATCAGTAAAATTAGATTTACGACATCATGTGCAATGTATTGGACATTATCATGGACAACCTGTACTTGAGTTATTGTACATATTTATGTTTGGTAACCATCACAAATGATCCTAACTTTGGCATGGAGTATATTTTGGATTCACAACTATATATATACTTTCTAATGTATACATTTGCACTTTTTCGAAACGTAATACTGTAACTGCTGCACATAGCTTCCCTTGAGGGGAACATATCTTGTTGTCGGTCCTTACTTCACGTTGGAAACTATCTGTGAACTGTAAGAGCGTTTAAAGGGTCCTATTATCCTCATTTCTAAGGCCTTTTGCAGGGAACACAGGGATTATAGCCTTTACAGACCATTTACATGCACACAAAGCATAATAGGGCCTCTTTAAAATAAGTAGTTTTTCTCACCTTTCATATTTTTATATCTCTTGTACCAACGAGCAAACTCCTGGCATTTGGCGGTGGAGACGTTGGCGTAGTAGGAATTGTTCACGATGGAGGAAATCATACTCTGAGAGACAGAGAGGGCGAAGATAATTAATAACCAGTATAATATGAAATGCTTACACTCACGCAACAACCTCATGGCATGCTCACATAAACACACACACACGCACACGCACACACACACACACACACACACACACACACACACACACACACACACACACACACACACACACACACACACACACACAAGAAATAGACAAACATTAATCATGATTTGAAGCCACCCATGGAAACTGGAGGCAGTGCAGAGAGGGACTCTCCAGCCACACACACACACACACACACACACACACACACACACACACACACACACACACACCACACACACACACACACCACACACACACACACACACACACACACACACACACATCTGACACAGCAGCACTTGAGGAGACACTGCTTCATTCTGTGGGGTGGAGTTTGATTAAAATGTAGCAATAAGCAATACAATGTAGGATTAATTTGAAATGTCTTTCTCATGAGAGCTGACTTTAGTCATTAGTCGGGACATGTGTTGGTCTAATCAGTGAGAGAGATGTTTCAAATCAAGACTAAATACAACTTATAAGAGAACGTTTTAATATAAGCAAGAGGGACACTGTATCAACTCACATATATCTGACATTAAATAGCTTAAATGTCCCTTTAAATTATGTATTTTTAACTAAAGAGTTTAGTTTCGATTTAATTCAACAGTTCCTGGTTGACTTATTAATAAACTTGTTAATTAACATGTATTATAATTTATGAAGATTATTCTCAAGAGTAGATATAAAGGGTTATTGATTTGACAAGCACTTCTCTTAGTCGAGGTTTCTGTTGTTGTTGTTGTTGTTGTTGTTGTTGTTGTTGTTGTTGTTGTTACCTGTGACAGCGGACACTCTTTGGCCAGAGTGCTTTGGTTCATCTCCCTCAGCAGATCTTTGAGAGCGTTCCTCACCGTCGTGTGGTTCCACTGTTCAGAGGGGAGGTCCTCCATCTTTGAAAAACTGAAACACAAAACACACACACAGAAGTCAGACAAATAAACAAATAGAGAAACAACAGCACTAAACATCAACACAAAAACAACAGTGACAATTAAAGGAAGAGTTTGATATTGTGGGCATTGTGCTTTCACTTTTTCTGAGAGATTTATATGAAAAGATATCTACAAATCTTGTGTGTTTGGAGTTTTTATGGCGGTTCGGAGAGCCACACACCTGTTAGCTTAGCTTAGCATTAGAACAGGAAACAGCTAGCCTAGTTAGATTATCTAAAGGTAGCTAAATAAATCAAAAGAACAATTCAATCCCAAATAATTCAACTAATTTACAATAACTTTTCTATTTTACTATCCTATAATGTATCATCTTTTTAACACTCAAACACATATTAAAAAAACAGTATGTAGTAGTTTGAAGGTTTAAAATGTTTGTAGATTGATTTTGTTCCTTGAAACAGAGCCAGGCAAGCAGTTCCCCCCTGTTTCAAGTCTTTATGCTAAGTTAAGCTGACTACAGTGCAGGCACCAGAGGCATCCATCTTCTCATTAAACGTTTCCTTTAATCCTAAATTAACCCCAAATGAAGCCTTAACCCCTCTGACCTCACACGCATCCTGCATTAACCTCAAACCCTCCACTCCCTGTATCTCCCCACAACTCCCTGTTTTATCTTTTAACCTCAAAATGAATCATTTCTACTCTTGAGCACAAAGTGTGCCAGTCCTCTTCCATCGCCATGGATACGCACACACAAACATGTAAACAAACCTGGCTGGTATGTTCCAGGACAATAACGATAAAACTCCTCTCATCTGGAGTTTATCTGGCTTTTATCTGCCCATCAGGACCCGGCTTCACTCTTTGTTTTCCTGGCACACGGACTCTCGCAGATAATAGATAAATCCCCAGCGGGTTGTTTACAGTTTCAATATCGCCGCTTTGCAAATTTGATAGATATGGTAAATTCTTAAACTGCAATCAGCTGCAATGACATCAGTCGCCCAGCGGACCGAGAGTCTGAATCAGTGAGAGGTTTCCACAGGTTCACAATTAAATGTTACTTTCTAGTAGGGCTGCTCGATTATGGCAAAAATCATAATCTCGATTATTTGGGTCAATAATTGATATCACGATTATTAAAAACGATTATCCATTTACTTTGAAAACATCAATTTATTGGAGAAAAAACATTTGAACAGTATGTTTTTAACAGTTGATTACCCTGAACTTTAAATATAATTCAACTGAAAAACCAAAACAAAAAAAGTAATAATACAAAAATAATCGTTTTATTTCGGTTACGTTGTTTTTGTAATCGTTGCAAGCCATCATCTTAATTGCGATTAAAATACGATTAATTGAGCAGCCCTACTTTCTAGTTTATCCCACTGAAAAACTATACACGAGTTATCGACATTTTGTAGGAATCACAAATCAGGCTGGTGCAATATTCATATTACCAGCCAAAGTATGTGTAAATATTATTCAGAATTCACTCTTTGTTGACTTCTATGTCTATCAGTTGTGAAGAGAATAATAAGTGACTTTCACACTGCAAAATATATCAAAAATGTACCCCCAAAAACAATCAATATTAGTTTTGTAGTCATTTTTAGATGTATTATTGTGTTAGGGCTACATTCAAATTGCGACATTGGCTAATGCAATTTTTGTTTACAGGAAGATGTGTGTAAATATGATTCTGAATTGTCGGGTTGCAGAGATTTCCCGTCATGCTAATTGTACTCTAGCCATTTAAATATCTTTGTTTGGCACAGATCCTCTTATATCTACGTTCATATATGCAAGATTGTGTGAGTTGGGAGGAAATCATATACGTGATGAAACGGTTCCTTCATCAACTATTTCTTGGTTATATATTTTATTTGCAAGTATCATTTCTGGGAAGAATGTAATATGATGTAACACACTGACATGTTAAAGGTCCGGTATTTAAACCCTTACTCACCCTAAATAAGTAACTATTAAAATATATATTTTTTGAATATATTTTTTTGAATACATCTTTCAATCAGTCCAACCCCAGTTAACCATTTCTCAAAAGCAACATCAGTCAACATATTCACACTTATTTCCAAACCGTGCAGCCCTACTGAAACCTACAGAATGATGTGTGTGCAGGGGTGATATGAGCACTCACTCTGACCTCTGCAGCTGGATGCGCAGAGTGACCATGTGATAAACCTCCATCAGCATGTCGGCCACCGTGGCTTCAGGAGCGTCCGTCAGGAAGTGGATCGGCATTGGGTTCCAGTGGCCCACCTTTATGATGCCTGCACACAAAACATGGACACATTCTGTCATTGTGAGGTTTTATGTATAGTAACATTTTGACTTGATATGAAAAAGCAGTAAATAAGTAAAAAAAAAACAATTAGAAAAACATTTATTGATCTCTGTAGGGAAATTCATTTTGTATCGTAAATGCAATTGCCAGTAGTAAAAATCTAACATTAGGCTACAAAGGAACTACAGCACGGTCACATCACTTCACGCCACCACCGCTAAGCTAAAGGCGGCTAATGTTGGGCTATAAAGGAACTACAGCACGGTCACATGACTTCACGTCACCACCGCTAAGCTAAAGGCGGCTAATGTTGGGCTATAACGGAACTACAGCACGGTCCCATGACTTCACGTCACAATCGCTAAGCTAAAGGCGGCTAATTTTGGGCTATAAAGGAACTACAGCACGTTCACATGACTTCACGTCACCACCGCTAAGCTAAAGGCGGCTAATGTTGGGCTATAAAGGAACTACAGCACGGTCACATGACTTCACGTCACCACCGCTAAGCTAAAGGCGGCTAATGTTGGGCTATAAAGAAACTACAGCACGTTCACATGACTTCACGTCACCAGCGCTAAGCTAAAGGCGGCTAATGTTGGGCTATAAAGGAACTACAGCACGGTCACATGACTTCACGTCACCACCGCTAAGCTAAAGGAGGCTAATGTTGGGTTATAAAGGAACTACAGCACGGTCACATGACTTCACGTCACCACCGCTAAACTAAAGGCGGCTAATGTTGGGCTATAAAGGAACTACAGCACGGTCACATCACTTCACGTCACCACCGCTAAGCTAAAGGAGGCTAATGTTGGGCTATAAAGGAACTACAGCACGGTCACATGACTTCACGTCATCACCACTAAGCTAAAGGCGGCTAATGTTGGGCTATAAAGGAACTACAGCACGGTCACATGACTTCACGTCACCACCGCTAAGCTAAAGGCGGCTAATGTTGGGCTATAAAGGAACTACAGCACGGTCACATGACTTCACCTCACCACCGCTAAGCTAAAGGCGGCTAATGTTGGGCTATAACGGAACTACAGCACGGTCCCATGACTTCACGTCACAATCGCTAAGCTAAAGGCGGCTAATTTTGGGCTATAAAGGAACTACAGCACGTTCACATGACTTCACGTCACCACCGCTAAGCTAAAGGCGGCTAATGTTGGGCTATAAAGGAACTACAGCACGGTCACATGACTTCACGTCACCACCGCTAAGCTAAAGGCGGCTAATGTTGGGCTATAAAGGAACTACAGCACGGTCACATGACTTCACGTCACCAGCGCTAAGCTAAAGGCGGCTAATGTTGGGCTATAAAGGAACTACAGCACGGTCACATGACTTCACGTCACCACCGCTAAGCTAAAGGAGGCTAATGTTGGGTTATAAAGGAACTACAGCACGGTCACATGACTTCACGTCACCACCGCTAAGCTAAAGGCGGCTAATGTTGGGCTATAAAGGAACTACAGCACGGTCACATCACTTCACGTCACCACCGCTAAGCTAAAGGAGGCTAATGTTGGGCTATAAAGGAACTACAGCACGGTCACATGACTTCACGTCATCACCACTAAGCTAAAGGCGGCTAATGTTGGGCTATAAAGGAACTACAGCACGGTCACATGACTTCACGTCACCACCGCTAAGCTAAAGGCGGCTAATGTTGGGCTATAAAGGAACTACAGCACGGTCACATGACTTCACGTCACCACCGCTAAGCTAAAGGCGGCTAATGTTGGGCTATAACGGAACTACAGCACGGTCCCATGACTTCACGTCACCACCGCTAAGCTAAAGGCGGCTAATGTTGGGCTATAAAGGAACTACAGCACGGTCACATGACTTCACGTCATCACCGCTAAGCTAAAGGCGGCTAATGTTGGGCTATAAAGGAACTACAGCACGGTCACATGACTTCACGTCATCACCGCTAAGCTAAAGGCGGCTAATGTTGGGCTATAAAGGAACTACAGCACGGTCACATGACTTCACGTCACCACCGCTAAGCTAAATGCGGCTAATGTTGGGCTATAAAGGAACTACAGCAAGGTCACATGACTTCACGTCATCACTGCTAAGCTAAAGGCGGCTGTTAATGTTAAATTAAATCGATTAAATTGTGTTCCGTTTTTGTTTTAGATGTTTTAACTTTTAAATGCACTGTAAGGCGACCTTGGGTGTCCTGAAAGGTGCCTCGAAATAAAACGTATTATTATTATTATTATTATTATTATAATTATTAATGTTGGGCTATAAAGGAACTACAGCGCGGTCACATGACTTCACGTTAAGCACTTTTTCGCTAAGCTAAAGAAAGGATTTCAGGAGGATATCAAACTGAATCCTAGCATACAGAAAGCTAACGTAAGTGAGTCAGAATGGAAGGTGCTGTCTTTGTTTAGTGTTTGTCAAATAAGGACTGAATAAATAACATGATACACACAAACACACTTCATCTCCACGTTCACACACTCAGAGGTTTTTCATGGGGACTGTGAAAACTAAACAAAGCTAATCGCATTACGATCCTCCAAATGAGATCCAGACGGGTCCTGAGAAGTCTCCCCTCTGTTTCCCCCATCCCATCATATCTTCCTCCTCTCTCCCCCCTTTAGACTCCCCTTTCTCTCTTTGTCCTGCTTCCCTGTGTTTACTGTATATCTCCGTTATATCTTTGATTCCCGTCAGGCCGAGCTGTGTTCTTCATTATCTGGCCATACAGGTTGAGCATCATTTAATCCACTCTGAACAGAAAGGGGGACCCCAACTTAACGTAACACCACCGTCATAACGTTACAAAAGAAAATAGAACCAAAAATCTATTTTGTAACAGTAGTTTCTCGTTTGAGGTCATCTGGGCTGCAAAAAGACCTCGAAATAAAAGCTCAGTTTTCCATCTTCATTAAATAAGAAATGTCAGAGATGTGTGAGAAAAGATAGTCTGACTCAAAAAACACTAAATGTTAGAATTAAAGCTCCTTTAATGTTACATTTGTATATTGACATTTGAGACATTTCACATTTCCTAACCTGCATGGAACAGGCAAATGTGATTTTTATAAATACTTTTGTAATACTTTGTAAATATTACATAGGTAAGACTACCTTAAAATTATATTTCCACATACTTTATATACTATTTGTGTGAATTTGTCACACAAATTAGAGTTTTGTAAAAAAGGACGTGATGAAATGCATTTTAAAGAGATCGAAGAAAATACTCAGATCCTTTTATGACAGGGAGAGTAAAGCACATCGTCCTTTTGTTTTTCTTATTTTCTCTGTTTCTTTAACACACACACGCACACAGATCCAAACACAAACACACACACACACACACACACACAGATCCAAACACAAACACACACACACACACACAGATCCAAACACAAACACACACACACACACACACACACACAGAGAAACTGGATCATCGTCTGAAAATAGGCCATACCAATTCCGCTAATGCCAAGTTGGGTGGAAGCAAACACGTGAATAAGCAGACAAACACAAACTCACCGAGGACAGCACACAGAGAAGTGGACATGTACATGTTCCCGCTCGCATGCAAACACACACACTCTCACACACACACGCTCGCAATGGGATGGTAAATGCATTAATAATTGATCCATCATTTTTTGGTCTGCTGTTCAATGGGCTCTGCTTCATGTCCACATTTAAAAGTGGAAATCATTGTTCCCATTTCTACATTAAAATTCCACCTCCCAAAGACACACTTTCATGTGGCCGGGCCGGTGGCTTGGCTCATGTCTGAGTGTGCCCATCCACACACACACACACACACTGATACAAGTGTACACACAGTAATCTCATTGTCCCGTGCTGGAATAAGTCTTAATGGCAGCAGCAGCCCGCCCGCCCAAACACACACACACTTCAGGGGACATTACATTGACTTTCATGCATTTCCTGGAGACGTATCCTAACCTTAACCATAACCAACACATGCCTAACCCTAAACCTAACCCTAACCCAAACAAGTCTTCACCCTAAAATTAATTATTCCCCTCATGGCGACCTCCAATTTGTCCCCATAAGGGAAGCCAGTCCCCACACGTGACTGTGTAAACAGATTTAGGTCCCCACAAGTATAGTAATGCTAGGCCACGCACACACACACACACACACACACACACACACACACACACACACACACAACACACACACACACACACACACACACACACACACACACACACACACACACACACACACACACACACACACACACACACACACACACACACACACACACACACACACACACACACACACACCACACACACACACACCACACACACACACACACACACACACCACACACACACACACACACACACACACACACACACACACACACACAGGTTAAAGGCTTCTTCTTCCAAAAATGGTTCCAGCTCCAGCCCCTGGCACAAATTGAGGGAAACCCCATACGTCTGACGCACCCCCCCCATCACCCGTCATTGCACCCTCATGAACACCTCTTGATGAAAATCTGTCATGCTGTTATTTTAATCTGTAAAATAATACGGAGGAGGTCGGGACCACCTCGTAGGGAACAACAGAGTGTAAAGCTTAATATGAGTTATGGTGCATTTTGATTGGGAAATACTTAAAAAACAAGTCTGCATCTTCGTAATAAGGCATATTTCTTTAAGGGAACATCTTTATTACAGATGAATAAGTTTATTTCATTGAGCATTACTGAGCCATAATTAGAAGACATTTTGAGATGTCATGTCAATTTTTCATCGTAAGATTTGTGTTTTATCTCATTCTTTCTTTAAGCTGAAGACTATTAACTATTTATAGCTAAATCCATTTATTCAAGTAAACATATCATGCAAAATGTAAGGTCAATACATCTTGTTTTAAAAGTACGTTTTCACATGCCCCCCTTTTTCTTAAAGAGTCACCGCAAGCTCATCGTAGCGTTTACCCTGATAA